TTTATAACATCAACAAAATACAATACTCGCCAGCGGCGTGAAGTAGGTAAACCACTGCTAGTGGGGGACTACTTAGACTGTATATTACCTTCACTTACAACAGTGTCCAAATAGTGTATTTATAGGGATTGGGACATAAATTTATTGTTCATAGGTACGATATATAGCACAAACATTTTTCGGAGTAAATTGTAGAAATGTGGAATGGAATATTTGCCGTGTTCATTGGGTATCAGCCATTGAAAATGTAAGTAATTTCATTTTTGATAAATAACATTTAATTAAATTTAATTTACATTATATAAAAGGATTACAAACAGCAGCAACAACTAAAATGGATGGCATGTGTACCTCAAAGAGAAAAGAATGACATAATAAAAAGTTGACATTCCATACCTCTTTAAATAAAAATTATTGAGTTGATAACACAAAATATGATAGCATCGTCTACATGTACAAAAAGGTTAAAAATAATGGAAGCCTTATTAATAAATTAAAAAACCCCTCAATAATAACAACTATGAACATGGGCACAATGTCTTGACATTGTTTTTGAAAATGAAAACATCATATAAATACATGCAACAATCTATTTGTAGTTAACAGTTAATATCTTTCAACCTTGACAATGGCTAAATGTATAGCCGAAAGCGCTCGGCAAAAAAAAAAAAAAAAATGAGAGTTTTTATATAATTTATCTACTGAAAAGAAAAAATATGAGATCATATGAAAAATTATATAAAAAACTTAAATCAACTTGTTTGTCATATTTAATGAAACTTGTGTATATATATATATATATATATATATATATATATATGAAAAATATATATAAAAATAGGAAAGAACTCGTTAGGTAAATAATCCAAAGTTCTTTAGTATTTTTGCTATTATTTTAAAAGAATAGTGCTCGATACAAAAGTAGAGCATAAATATAATTATTTATTTAAAAATATGATTCCAACACGCTACATATGAGTCCTCATGTTTCAAAACAAGATATATATATATATATATATATATATATATATATATATATATATATATATATATATAAGTGAACATGCGATAGGCTGTTTCATGTTGACGCAATCAGGCCTGACGATTGCGTCCAGCCTGTCGCCTCTGAGTGTTGACTTCAATGTTCACTTTTGTATTTACATTTATATTTACATACGCGCTATCTCTGATATTGAGCACGTTATCCCATATAAATATAGCAGACCTTAAAACTATATTTCTTCATATATATATATATATATATATATAAAAGAAGAGATTCAAAAGTGGAAGAAAAAAACGAGGGGATTAAAGAAGAAAAGAAAGCAACAAAGATGGAGAATATAAAGATGGAGGTCGGAAGGCGTAGTGGAAGTCAGAGACAGGCGCAGCTATCAGGGTCGGGGGTGCTAAAGCAGAGGATATAAATTTCCGAAAGGGGAGGTGGGAATGTGACACGAAACCGCACCAACTGCATTCATCCGAATCTTGATTGCGCAACTTGAAAATCGTAAAAATGGGCGAGTCAAGGCGTAGATATCTAATGAGAAGCCATTAAAACGGTTGGCGGGAGGATGAAAGGGGAGCAGTGCTGGGTGGGCGGGGTGACGATAAGGACAGACAATAAATAACACTGAGGTTGAATCCCTCGATGAAGTTTTAAGGAAAGGGAATAGAAAATACAAAGTAGATTGACGAAGAAAGAAAGCCTCGTAGCGGAGGTAGTTGCACATTTTCTGTTGACATCAGGTTTGTTTTGTTTAACAGCGCATCAACTCCTTATGGGTTATTTAATGCTAAAATTTTATTTTCTAGTCAGATTTGATATTTTTGTGTTGCTGGTAATTTTTTTCTATGAAAATGTATTGCTGATAATTTTTTTAATTTATTTTTTATATTTTCATGTGTGGCACCATTTACGAGGCAGAGAAAGGAAAAGAAAGAAAAGAAGGCAGAAAGAAAGGCGAGACGAATCGTGGGTGATAAGCAGACACACACACGGCTAAGAGACAATGAAAATATTGATAAGTAACAAATGGCGAAAAGGGTGTCATTACAACGACAGGGAAATTCTGAGTAAAGAGAAAGGAAAAGAAAGAAAAGAAGGCAGAAAGAAAGGCGAGACGAATCGTGGGTGATAAGCAGACACACACACGGCTAAGAGACAATGAAAATATTGATAAGTAACAAATGGCGAAAAGGGTGTCATTACAACGACAGGGAAATTCTGAGTAAAAAGAAAAGGGAAAGAAAGAAAGAATCAGATGTGTTTTGATAACGGCTGTGTTATCTAGGAGTACGTAAACAAAACGGCTGGCCGACTGGCCAACGAAAAATTCAATTGAAAACGTTAATTTTGATAATTGACAAAACACAGGTGTAACTACAGGACTTTGGGTAGATATGAAAAATTAAAAGCCACACAAGCCGTGTCCGCTGACCGATTTTTTTTCGACGAAACAACTTTGGCCTGCGATAATAAAATTATGTTATCAGAAACATGTACCGAAGGAAAATGAATGGGGACCCAGAAGTGTTTTTTCTTCTTCCTTGGAGGTGACAGACTGACTGAAACTTTAGAGATATTTCTTTTTTGAGGCCGTGTTAAGAAGACCACCCATTTTGATAGTTAGCGATAAAATACCTGACAAAAACCACGTGTAGAACAAGAGTTGTAATATTGTCCGTTTGCGGCTAGAAAAATGATAACGGCGATTAAAGCGGAAGAAAAGGGAAAGAGAAGAGATAATTTTTTTTTAGTTAAGCAAGATATTTTTTTCCCCCGAAACAAAGCCGCGGATTGTTCACGCCCGACTAAGACATCATTGGTCAAGTGGTGATCACGTGACGCCCGAAGGAGGCTGTCGACGCCTCATCCAGAGTATAAGTATGAGAAGCTGCTACGAAGAAGTGGGGAGGGCAGTTCACGCCCTCTGAAGTATGGTGAGAAAATGGGAGTAAGGAAAGTTTCCCAAAAATGGAAAAGAGTGGTAAATCCCTAACCAGAAATAAAAGAGGTGGATATGTATTTAGAATTATCGAGGAACCCCCCGACGCCGACAGACCCACCTCGGATTTGGTCGGCGTCAATAAAAGCGAGGCCCCAACAGGCAGAAAACAGAGTTCGGGCTCCAGCGGAGAGTTGAGTTTCCAGAGCTGAGTTCCAGCAGTTCCAGTGAGTTCAGCTGACCAAGATACACGCAAATTCCGGACTCCTCTTCAACCCAAGAACAAATATTTTGAAGAGCGACTTAGATCCAGACGACCGAAATAAGTTTTTTTCGACTTTCTTCCCTAGACACACCGAAAAACCAATTTCTTAGAGAGCCAACAACTTGAAGCGTTAAAACTCGCCTAACGGAAAACGACGTGTCACAATCCACAGAACGGGTCGGGAGATAGATGCAGTCCTATGTATCGAACAACTAGACATAAAGTTTGTTACCTTTTTCTTTGATACCTTGAACTTTTTGAGTTTTCATTTTATTTTCTTTTGTGCATATTTGTGTAGTATCACCCCCGTTGAACTCAGTTTGCATTACGGCCGCAACCACTGTTTGATCTCGTCTGTCTAAGATCAATTCACAACGTGAGTAGGCAGACTGGAGATCAATGCAGTTACCTTGGTAACCAGGCGTTGGAAGCGAGTTGGGAACGGCGAGGCTGATATCAAATCTAACCAGATTCCCACCCGAATCACCAAAAGGTTAGAATGTCACATTTGGGTGCCGCGACCGATACCAAGCCAGTTGGTCGTCACAGGACGAGACAACACGACTGACGCGACAGGCGGACGTCACGTTTGGAGCAGCGACACCCGAACGGAGCAGCGAGGAGCGAACAGCTGGCGCCGCGGCGAGGACGTCACAATTGGTGCTGTTTGGGGACGTCACAGTTGGTGCCGTGGTAGATCAGGATAGAACGTCACGTCAGTATTCGAATAGAGGTAACTATTTAGCAATTTGAGTGAGGATTTTCTAAGTGGGGCGATCGTCTATATATAAGGGACCAGTCAAATTTAATATTTGAATTCCAAATATTTTGTGTCATAGTGTGATACATTCAGTAAATGTAGAAAGCAGGGAATTTTGAAAAGAAAGGAGAAAAGAAAGAAGGCGAGATAAAAGTATTTTGTGATGTCAACAAACACTCGTTGCCACTTTTGTAATGTCAACGAATACTCGTTGTCACCTTCGTAATACTTATTGTGGTAGAGACTTTGTAATCGCAGATACAACTATAATACGCCGCTGAACACTACTGGGATCATATCACTCGCACTAATAGTACTTGTTCGATACTACACGCTCGAATAATAATCCGTATAGTGATCCGAGTAGAGAAATAGTATAGTGAATAGTATAGAGAATAGCCGTCCGTATATTATTAGAGGATAGACTAGAAATAGCGATCTGTATAGTATAGAGGATAGACTAGAAATAGTGATCGTTAGTTGTCAGCTACTTCCTACATATATGCGTTTCCTCTATGATTACGAAGTCTACTTAATTCAATAAAGGGATCGCCTGTGTTTGCTCAGTGGCGTTCTATGTTCAAACTCAAGTGTCGGCAGCGACACTTTATTCCTATATAAGAAAGTAAAATAAAGAAACAAAAGAGAAAAGAAAGAAAAAAATTAAAAGGAAAAAGAAATAAAAATTGGAAAATGATAAAAAAATGGAGGAAAATAAATGAGAAAAGAGTAAGAAGAACCTAAAAATAAGAAATGAAGAAAGAAAGAATAAAAGATAAAGAAAAGGAAAAAATAAATGAAGAAAAAAAAAACCAAACAACATATAAAAGGCAAAGTGAACGGAAGAAACGAAAAAGAGAGAAGGAATACTGTTTAAATAAAGAGGGAGAGACAATAAAAAGAAAGAAAAAAAGACGTATGGAAAAGAAGAAAGAAGACTTTAAAAAAAAGAAAAATAATGATTGAGGATAAAGAAAGAAAGAAGAAACGAAAAAGTGGATGAGCAAAGAAAGATTATTAAGCTAAGCTAATGAGTGGGTGGAGAAGAAGAAAGGGAAAAGCGGAAAATGAATGAAGAAAAAAGTGAACTGGAAAAGAAGGGAGACAACTTTTGAAGGAAAAATAAACAGAGTAAAAAAAGACCGGAAGAAGAATAAGCGACAAACTGACGAACAGATAAGAAGTAGAGACAGGAAGTTGAAAGAGAAAAAAAAAATTGTAAAATCAATAAATAAATATATAAAGAAAAAGAAAGAAAAGAGAAACTAGTAAAATAAGAGAGATCTGAAGGTGAACAACAGTGAGAACAGAAAACATACAATTAGATATGAAATTGAAGAAAGACGAAGAATGAAAAAGAAATAAAGAAGAAAGAAGAAAAAAAAAGAAAGTAAACAATGGAATATTCAGTGGAGAGAGAAAAATGAAATAAAAGAAGCCAATGAGAAAAAGAGAAAGGAATTTGAAAGGATAGTAACTTTGAAAATAATTAAAAGCTTATGTAAGTAACATTTTTAAGAGGTCAACAATTTCCAAAGAAGGTTAGAAAAGGTACGTTGCTTTTCCTTTAGTCATTTATTCGTTGAAAATGACATTGTTTTGCGTATAGAGAGAATCTGTTTGAGAGTAAAGAATTAGACAAAAGGTTTTAGTATTTTGAGGTAATTAGTAGAGAAAGAGAGAGAGTAGGGGTACACTAGGCAGAAATATTTTAAAAGAGAGAATATGAGAAACGGAGGGAAAGAAAAGCAGAGAGAGAGAGAGAGAGAGAGAGAGAGAAAGAAAAAGTGAGAGAAAGGAAAGGAAAGAAAGAAAATTAGAAGGTAAATACTTGAGTGAGAGAGATGAAAAGAGTGAGAGATGGAGAGTGAGAGAGGTGGAGTGGAGAAGTGAATGAATATCAAGAGGGAAGGTTGAGAAAGGAAAGCATATAAAGAATGCGAGAGAAAGAGACTTTGAGAGAAGGCTGGAAAACCAGAAGTGAGAGTTTGAAAGAGAGAGAGAGAGAGAGCGAAGAGAGAGAGAGAGAGAGAGTGAGATTTAAAGATTACAAGAGAGAGAGAAAGAATGCAAAGAACAGAACGTTGAAATTGAAATGTGAACGAATAAAGAGACAATGAAGTATTCAGGGGAAACTGTAAGTTAAGAATGGGTCATTTAATTAAGAGAGACATGCGCATATTCATATATATATATATATATATATATATATATTATAATGCGCAGCTTGTATTTTACATAATGAATAATGAATTTATGCAAAGAATTAAATAGCAATGTTAATATGTTGAATAGCGAAATCACTTCGCTAACAGGACTTAATGACACATTAACTTACTATCAAATCTATATCTATCTATCTATCTATCTATCTATCTATCTATCTATCTATATATATATATATATATATATATATATATATATATATATATATATATATATCATAAAGAAACAATTTATAAAAAAAATTAAATAGCAATGTTAATTTGATGAATGGCGAAATCACTTCACTAATAAATTTCGTAGGTTTATAACTTTTCAAAATTGACACAAAATTCTCATTTGATCGATTTGAACGAGAACTCTTGATTTGCGGCATCGTACGCCCCAAAACATATATTTAACTGTCAATATATAGTACAATTCAAAAAACATATTTCGGTCTATACATATTTCGTCTTAGTGTTTGCGTATATATAGGAAAAAATTGCCCCCTGAAGATGACAATTTTAAATTGTTGAAAGTACCCGGAATGTGTTTTCCATCTGACAACTCGAATATAAGGATCTTATTATTCAATGAATTGATAGTAAGTTAATGTCTCATTATGTTTTGTTAGCGATGTGATTTCGCCATTAATCACATTAACCCTAGAACACTAACCATCAATTAAAGTTACACCACTACTAACCATGGGTATATCATACCCGATTTTGAAAATATCAAAAAAAATATTAAATATAAATCTTTATTTGAAATATTTTACATGCAGGCACTTCAAACTTTGTACTTTGAATTAACATTAATAGGAACTGAAAAATATTATTTAGGTAAGAAAATCAGGTACTGAAAATTGTAATTAAAAAGTAGGAAAATTTGCGCTGGGTACTATATACCCATGGTTAGTGTTCTAAAGTTGAGAGAGTGAAGAAGAGGACATATAGAAAGGAAGAAAGGAACTTTTGAAAGAAAGAGAGAAAATACGAGAAAACTCTCGAATAAAGAAGCTTATAAAAGCGGGAAGGGACGAGAAAGAACATACCGTAATTACCCATGTATAATACGCATTTTTTTCTAAAAAATAATAAGCAAAATCGGGGGTGGTATTTTGCACACCTACAAAAAAATCTTTAAAAAATTGCTTTTTATTTTAAGCTCTTCACCCCAAGCAAGGCGGGAAGCCACTAGGACGCAAGGGGTTATAGAAAATTTGGAGCAAGATCTGATAGGAGTGATAGAAGAAAGGATGAGGAGAAGGGTAGTGGATAGATCAAGGCAACTGGAGATGTCGATTGACATTACATTTGAATAGCTGGAGATTATAGCCCTCAGGGAAACTAGAATAGGGAAGGGAGTTCCACGGGCGAGAGGTGCGAGACATGAAGCTATTGGAGTAGAAGAGACGGCTACATTTAGGAGTTTCTGACAGTGAAGGGGTGAGGGGATGCCAGCCTCGTCGGGCGCTTGAACTCATGAAGTCTGGGAACCAGCGAACGCAGCTCCTCAGAGCAATTGCCATGAAAGTATTTGTAAAACAGACAGAGAGAGGCGACGGCGCGTCTGTGCGAAAGTGACTGTAGATGAGATGCCAGATCAGGGCCAATTATATTGCATATCCGCTTCTGGAGCTTATCAAGAACCCCGAGGAAAACAGAAGGGGCTCCAGACCATATATGGCAGCAATACTCCATGCAAGGGCGAATGGTTGATTTGTAGATCTGGTGGATCGATTCCGGGGAGGAGAATTTCCTGGCGCGGCACAGGGAGCCAACTTTCCTTGCGGTGGACGAAGCATTTGACTCAATGTATTTGTTCCATCTCAGGTCAGCAGTCAACGTGAGACCGAGCAGCCGCAGAGAGGTGCTCTCGAGCAGTTGGGCGTCAGATATTCTAATGGAGGGCAGAGAAGGATCTCTGTGGTGATTAATAGAGAGCAGTTTTGTTTTTGAAGCATTAAAGTTGACCAGCCAATTCCTGCCCCAGTTCACAACCGATTGGAGGTCCTTTTCGAGACGCACGGCTAGGTTATTTTTGTCACTGACAGTAGATTTGTTTTTGAGGCAGGAATAAATTGTGGTGTCATCTGCGTAGATGCCAACTTGGGAATTTATGGCGCCAGGAATGTCATTTAAGTAGATAATGAATAGAGTGGGGCCTAGGATGGAGCCTTGAGGAACACCTCCGTTCGTGGGATAGGAACTGGAGGAGAATCCGTTGAGAACGACCGTCAATTCACGGTTTGACAGGAATGATTGTATTAGGTCAAACAATCGACCCGTAATGCCATAACCCTGGAGCTTGCGAAGAAAGCCGGCATGCCAAACCCTATCAAATGCTTTGGAGATGTCTAGGGCCACGGCACGAGCCTCACCGTTATTTTGATGAGTTCGGTAGACAGTTTCAGTGATGGCCGTAAGCACATCAGCTGTAGATCGGGCAAAGCGAAAGCCATATTGCTTGTCTGAGAGCAGATCATGGGATGTGAGGTGATTAACCACCTCGGTATTGATTAGGGCTTCGAAGACTTTGCCGAAGAGGGGTAGGAGACTGATAGGACCGTAGTTAGAAGGGTCAGAGGGGTCGCCAGAGTTCTTGAAGACAGGAAAACCCAAGAGGACTTCCAGCAGTCAGGAAAACAAGATTCCTTGAGGTAGTAGTTGTATAGTTTAGAAAGGGCGGGCGCCAGTTCAGGCGCGCATTTCTTCAAGACAATGGCTGGTATCCCATCTCCACCACTAGCCTTGTTGGGGTCTAAATTGGAGATAACACCCAATACCAATGACGGGGTTATGTGTAACCCACTCAATAGGGCTTCAGTTCTAAGAGGGAAGTCGGGTATGGGTACAACGGAAGAGTCGAGCGTTGAGTTGAATGAAAATTTCCGTGCAAAGCATTCTGCCTTGTCGGCAGAGGAGGTCAGAACTTAGAACTGGTTGAACAAAGGAGGTATAGAGGGTTTGCAATTGTTCAATACGCTCTTGCAGAGCCGCCAATAATCTTTGAAGCCAAATTTGCGAGATGCAATACGCTCCTTCATCCGAGCAGCAACTAGTGACTTAGCATCGTTGAGGACACGTTTACACTCATTACGGACGGAGGCAAAGAGACGTCTATTGCAGTTAGACATGTCGCTACGGAATAGGTGAAAGAAGTGATTCCTATGGGCGATGGCAGCTGAGCAAGCAGTGGAGAACCAGGGGGAGGAGCGCGACTTGAGCCTATATTTCCTTGAGGGATGAAAGCGTCGATTCCAGCTTTAACCCAGGAAGAGACCTCAGAAGCACATTCTTGAACGGGGAGCGTAAAGATACGATCCCAGGGGACATCGCGGAGGAAATCACAGAACGCGTCCCAGTCAGCTCGTTGATAGTAGAACGAAGTTCTAGTGGTAGGAGGTTCTTTGCAGGGGGTGAAGTTGAAGGAGATGTTAACAGATACTACCGCATGATCAGAGTTACCAAGAGGGCAGAGTTGCGTGGTGCTACAGGACTTGGGGATGGAGGTAAAACACAAATCGAGAAGAGAGGCTTTACCTTCTCGGTTGAAGGCAAAACGAATGGGGAAGTTAACTATCTGCGTGAGGGATTGAGAGACTGAAAAATTGAACGTTTGAATGCCTGCGTGGTCAGTAGTAGCATTCTTAAGCCACATGGTATGATGGGCGTTAAAGTCGCCAAACACAAAGATGTGGGAAAACGGGTGGAGGGAGAGAGCCTTGTCTATTCTGTCAGAAATGCTATCGAGTATCCCACAGTCTTGAGAGGATGGAGAGCGGTAAAAGAAGAAAAGATAGCTTACCGCATTGAGGAGAGATAGTCGGAGATACATGTACGACTGGTCTGGCGATTCGAGAGACAACTCTTTGGCCAGAGGGAGATGGTCCTTGACGTAGACACCAAGGCCGTGAATATGGGTTTTAGAGTCTTTTCTGAGGAGAGGAAGGTAGCCTGGGATAGAGAGATCAGAGGAAGGGATAGACGAGACAAGTTTTGTCTCACAGAGAGCCAGTATATCCAGGCAATTTGCAGTGAGGAAAGACTCCATACTGCAGAAGTTTGTTCTAATGCCACGGATCTTGAAGAACGAAATGTTGAGGGGATTAGGTGATTTATGAGTGGCTGGTTTAGGGTTACTTTTTCGGTCTTTGTAAGTCATGTTGAATTTACGTTGGAAGATGAGAAGGCCCGAAGTAAAAGAAGCAGACAGTTACAACCGTGACGTGGGCAGAGAGGAGTTGGCACACCTGCATCATAATGTGGCCTCAGGGTTGCCCACCGGAGGTGACTGCAGGGACACCTTTCTATGTGCGACATGGCACTACAAACACCCCGGTATTATACAACTGTTGATCAGAGCGGCCGCTCAAGACGCTACGCAAGAGTTAGGGCTCCTAACTACCAGTCGGAAACAGCAACCAGAGAACTGTCAACCGTATACCCTCAGAATGAAGAGGTGATGCCACAGACTGCACACATCACGGGGGGAAACGGAGCTGCACTAATAGAGAGGCCAGAGAGAGAGAGAGAGAGAGAGAGAGGGGAGAGAGAGAGAGTACCAGGAACCCCTTCCTAAACAAGAAACAAGGCGTAAGCCTCTACTCATGTCCAAGAGAAGGGGGAGGAGTGTTGACCGGGCGGTAGGAAAGCCTACCTACTCCTATTACATATAACACATACAACAACAAAAACAGAGGTAACAATGAGAGGGGGAGGTAATTTGCAAAGAGTCCTGGCTGACACTTGCATTTACCTTTTCGCAACATTAAGTTTTAAGTTTTAACTTATAAGTCCCATTGTCTATTCTAAAAAGAAATCGAAGAAAATAAGGTTATCCGGATTTATTGCCATTTCATAATAAATGCCCCAACATACGTGGCAGCGAGTGTTAGTCCGCTTTCTTCCTCATGATAACAAGTGAATGTACAGCTTACCTTAAGTCCAAGCATCGACCCGGTGGGGGGGGGTCAACGGCCAATCCACGACCCTCACCAAATAGTGGGCTTGGGAGGTATGCTTTCAATAAAAATTAAGAACAACAGGAGAAAGAATGGTGGAGAAAACAATTCCAAGTTCAGAAAATTTATCAAGCAAGAATAGTCAGCCACTAAATCATAAGAATACTGACGAGACACTTTCGCATCTAGCCAAAGACATTCAATTTTCCCCTTTTTTCTGGTTTTTCTTTCGAAACGGGATTTCTAACAAGACCATCGGATAGGTTAGAATGATTAGGACAAAATGCGTTACTATGGGCAAACACACTGACGAGTAGGTGGAGAAAAAAATACTAAAAAAAAAAAATAAAGAATTAAAGAAAATCGACAAAAAAATTAAAATGAGTTTTCGGTAGAGCGAAATTATACTCACACAGGGTAAAATGAAATAAGAATTATCATAAAACTAAATTCGAATATTATACTAAGTTTAAAACCATTTTTTAATTGGAGAGGTACAATCTATAGGGTTTGATAACCAAACAAGGGGTCCTTTTTATGCATGAGTAAATGCAACTTCCCACACTTTCAGCACAATTTTAGGTGTGCGTATTATGGATGAAGGCGTATTATACATGGGTAATTACGGTACTCAAAATGATAGAGACTCAGAGGCATTCATTTAGGAACTATAAATCTGGTCTTCTCTAGCCAATCATAAAGGCTATGTACCTCATTCTTTACCATTTTATAAAGAATGTCAAATACAATTACTTGGACCTAACAATACTTAGAAATGTAAAATAAAATAAAAATTATCATAAAACTAAATAGAATAATATTATTCTATGTTTATAACCATTTTAATAAGAGTAGGAAACGCTGTCCATTACAAAATTGAATAGGTACAATTTATATTGTTTGATTACCAAACAAGGGGTGCGTATTATGCATGAGTAGAAACATTTTCCCACATTTTCAGCACAATTTCAAGTGTGTGTATTATGTATGAAGGCGTATTATACATGGGGAATTACGGTAGTTATAAATAAATGACACTGAATTTAAAAACAACCTTCGACAGACTTTTAGGCGAGTTTTTAAATATAAAATTTGATTATTTTTATTGTCCCATAGGAACAACGGCCTAGTGGATTAAAGCATTTGATTGTGAATTTGGGGACATAGTCATTGAGAGTTCAATCTCTGCATCGGGCAGTGTGTACTTGCAGTGGAAACGAGCGAGCAATAACGAAGCAGTACTAAATAAAACACAATGACTAGACGATATCCCCAGCGTCCGTATTATGGATTAAGGTGTATTATACATGGGAAATTACAGTAATAAAAAAATGCATTTGCGCGAGCGAGAGAGATAGAAAGAGAAAGATAGAGAGGTGGAGTAGGTAGGATAAGAAGAAAAAAATCCAACGGAGAGAAATAGAGAAGGAAAAACTTGCGTGTGGTGACATGATTAAAAAAACTAAAATCTGTCTCGAGGAGTGTTGTAACCTAGTGAAGGTTACGGAATAGGAAAATCTAACGAAGGTTGGTAATGAACGATAATACTTAGGACAAGAACAACACATATAAGATTCTCCAACTGCAAACCAATATGCAGTATTTACTACTATATTTATGTGACTGCCCATTATAGTCCGGAGGTATGCTACAACAAAAAGAAGGAAATAGCTAAAATCACCTTCCTAGATCAACTAACTACTAAATAAACGATCAGAATTTATCTCAAAAACAAGCACGAAAACAAATATTTATTATGTTACTCAAAAATTGAAAGGCAAAAACGAATACCTTGTAAAATATAATCATGATAAATGAAAATATATGCATAATATCGAACACAGATAATGTAACATTGGTTTAACAAAGCCAATGATTTAAACTAAAAAAATATGATAAGCAACTCCCGAAAAAAATAAGCAAAATATATAAATAAAGTAAATAATAAGCAAATTATGAACTATGAATGCACACATAAATACTAGTAGAGGTAATAATAATAATAATAATAATAATAATAATAATAATAATAATAATAATCAACAAGGAATAATTAAGTAATTAGTAATAAATAATGAGTAAAATGTTAAAAACAACATTATCAACTAGCTACTAATAACAGTATTGGGTTTTATTTGGTTTGGTTTGTTTTACGGCATATCAACCTCAATGGGTTATTTAATGCCGACAATATTTTTATTGCTGGTAATATTTTTTATCTATCTATCTATCTATCTATCTATCTATCTATCTATCTGTCTATCTATCTATCTCAGTATATATTGGCTTGGTTTGGTTTGTTTTACGGCATATCAACCTCTATGGGTTATTTAATGCCGAAAAATTTTTATTGCTGATATTTTTTTTTGTCAAAAATCTATTTCTGGTAATATTTTTCCTTCAAAAATATATAGCGGGTAATATTTTTTCTTCAAAAACATTGTTGGTAATAATTTTTTCCCCTTCAAAAATTTATTGCTGGTAATAATTTTTTTTACAAAGTATTTCTGGTATTAAAACCTATTTTTACACTTTCATAGTGTTTTTACCCGAGTTTCGGGGTTAACTATTTGCCCATAGCTGGGACCCTAACAGGTGCTACCACCCAGGGTCAGGGTGGACCTGGGAACACCAGCAATTAAGAGTTGGTTCCACGCTCCTCAAAGCCTTCTGATCAGAGGCCTTGCTGTTGGACATAGTTTATCGTCTTACCCAGGACGCGAATGTAGTTTATCGTCATACTCAGGACGGAATAACAGTATTCGGATACCAATTATTCATACTCAATAGGCTTTAGAATAAACTGAAATATAACCGTAAACCCCTCCCCAATAATCGTTAGGATAATAATACAATAGACCTTGCTACGCGTAATACACATTTGGTCAGTATATACAAATAGTCAAGAAAACGTAGAACACAAATGGCCCGAAGATTGCGTTCTAGCATGAAACAGGCTGTCGCCGCTCGGTGTTGTCCTCAGTGTTCATTTACATAGTTGAATATCAAAGATGTAAATACATCTTTGATATTCAACTCTTTTACCCATAAATATAACACATGTTAAAACTTCATTTTTATCATATATATATATATATATATATATATATATATATATATATATTTTTCTGCCACGAACTCATTCCACACCCGGGTTGATAAGCCAGACGACCGTTATATTCGTCTGCTGAAATAGGCTATTTCCCATATAAAGTGATATTTGATTTTATTGTTTATTAATTATTTGTTCTGTAATAATGGTATTTACTTGATTCCCACTTAAATCAAGATATGACACAAGGTCGATTAACGTGGGAGACCCGAGTGTTTCCACTCATAGGCCACTGGTCAAAATATTGGTCAGAGCTTGTCCAAGCTGGTCAGAGCCTAGTCAAAGCTGGTCATAACTTGTCCTAACAGGTCCAGGCCGAAGCCAGTCCAAGCTTTGAGCTCTTTTTGTGGATCAGTTATAATATTTTACATTAGTAAGATCCATTTGGATTACATACCAACGCATTTGTTACATTTACTATATATATACATACACACACACACACACACACACACACACACACACATATATATATATATATATATATATATATATATATATATATATATATATATATATATATATATATATATATATATGAGTAAATTATTTATACATTTTATATACCAGAAAAATGACATGTTTCTTCTTTAAGACTTTGTCAGACTAAAGCGATGTTTACGCTGATGTAACTATACATGCGTACGAAGCAGACGGAAATCAGTAATTTTAATCTTTTAAATTAAATTATTTTCCTGTATTGTATTTGGGGATATAGTCTAGCTAATTTCATTTATTTTTCTTTTTATTCATGTTTTTATTAATTTTGTTATTTATTACAGAAGATGTGTTATTACAGTGTGCGACACCATAACATACGAATACTAGGATAGATATGACTGGGTAGGAAACCTGGTTCACTGGGAATTATGCAAGTGATTACATTTTAAGCCAATGGCATATGTATTGGCCAGAATCTGTCCTAGGGATTGAAACATAAATTTTCTCCGGATCGGATCTGGTCGTCATTAACTAAAAGAAGAAAGCATACCAGATAAGGGTTTTTTTTGGGGGGGGGTATTTTTTTCAGGGACAGACCACAGAGTAAATTTGAAAGTAAGCAAATAAATAAATAAATAAATAAATAAAAATAAATAAGTATCTTGACTCTTCCCGAGAAAGCTGTGAAATATGAAAGTAACAGTCGTACCAATCGTTATCGTAATACTCCAGAAAAAAAGTTCCTGAAGCATCCAGAAAAAAAAGTGCTAGAAGAAAATCGAAATCATAAAAAATAAATCCGTGACTATCCATCCGGGAGAATGCATTCCTGAAAACATTTAGGACACTAGAGAAGGGCCCTAGAGCAATGGGGAGACTTGCTGTCACTTTCTCTCTAGTGTAAGTCACCACTTATTACTATTGTGAACACTCAATAAGTGATAATAATAATAATAATAATAATAATAATAATAATAATAGTTATTATTATTATTATTATTATTATTATTAATGATATCATCATCAAATTGTCTGAAGGAAAATATTAATGATGGCAATTATACCAAATATTGAGAAAAAATAATAAAAAATATTATCAGCAAGTAAAATTATATGAGCGATCATATCTCTAATCGAGGTATCGATAAAAATATTAAAAAATAAGGAATGCTACCAATACTACTACTACTACTACTACTACTAATAATAATAATAATCGTAATAATAGCCCAAACAATATCAATAACAGAAATTATGTCAGTAATAATTAATGCGAGATATAAATACGATAAAGTCTAGAATACCATTACCATTTCGATAATAATAATAATAATAATAATAATAATAATAATAATAATAATAATATGCGTAACTATCGGAATAGATCTTTATTATCAATAGCCTAGTCGGCCATAGTGCATAGAGGGATGACACTTGGCACATGTCAGTCGATATTTTCACGCCTTTTTCTACTGCCCGGCGCCTCTGACAGTTACGCAATATTCTCCCTGACACTTGATAAACTGAATTTCAGTAATCAAATTTGCGAACGAAAACGTGCGAGCTGCAAAACAGGACGCCGGAATATTTTATCAACGCTTCAATCATAATGCGATGTTTGCGTTTTCCACCATTTTGTTACCGGAAGTTCAGCAAAACCTTACCTCAAGCTCTTGTCGATATTTTTTTTTGTTGTTGACGCTCTCCCTGACTTTCCTCGATGCTTTCACTTTTCTTGTCTCTTGCATTCTCTTTCTTTCCATTCACTCTGACTTTCTTTCCTTTTTGCATACTTTCTTTCTTTCTTTCTTTCTTTCTTTCTTTCTTTCTTTCTTTCTTTCTCATATTCAATTCTTTCTTCGTGTTTTTCTTTTTCCTCACTCTTTCATCACTTCACTTCCTTTCCTGTTGTCTTTTTCACTTTTTTTTGTTTCTCTTTCTTTGTTTCTTTGTTTCTTTCTTTCTTTATCAGTTCATCCTTTCTTTCTTTTTCTTTCTTCATTTGAATTTTCTCCCATGCTTATTTTAACTTGTTTATTTTTGTTTTCTTTGATCATCTTATTTCAATCTTTTTCGTCATCTTTTTCTTGCATTTCTCTCTCTCTCTCTCTCTCTTTCTAAATATCTTACTTCATTTCTCCCAGCACCCATTCTTTTATTCATTCCTTATTTCTTTCTTTTTTCTCACTCGCTCATTATCACGCATCTTTCTCTTTCTTTCTTTCTTTCTTTCTTTCTTTCTTTCTTTCTTTCTTTCTTTCTTTCTTTCTTCTTTATGCCATTCTTGCGTATATATTTATCAGTCAATATTTCTTCCTACTTTCCTTTCTTGTTTTTCTTTCTTTCTTTCTTTTTTTCTCACTCTTTTCTTTTGCTAACCCCTTCTTTATTTTGTTTCTATCGTTTCTGAAACAATTATGTATTTTTTTTCTCCTTTCTTCCTTACTTTCATATTTTTGTATCTTTCTTTTACTAAATTTATTTGTTTTATTCTTGTAAATCAATTTTTTTTCTTTTTCGCGCTCGTTAATTTTCTTGCCTCTTTCTTCGTCTCCTTATTGTGTTTTCCTCTTCTTTCCTTTAGGTTCATTCACATTTTGGTTTACTCTCTGATTTTTATTATCACTTCTTTCTTTCTTTCTTCCTTTTTCTTTCTTTTCTTTCTTTCTTTCTTTCTTTCTTTCTTTCTTTCTTTCTTTCTTTCTTTCGTTTGTCTTTTTACTTTCTTCATTTCCTGGATTCTTATTCTTACTACTTTACTTTCTTTCATTTTTATTTATTATTCCTCTTTTATTTTATTCTTCCTTTCACCTTCTCTTCCCCCTCTCTCTCTCTTTCTATCTCCCTGTCCCTGTCTCTTTCGCTCACTCTTTCTTTCTTTTTTTACTTCCCTACTCACTTTTTGACTTGTTCACCTACTTTTCTACTCCCATTTCCAATTCATATCTTTCAGATCTATTCCCGTTTATCTTTTCTTCGCTTCTTTCTTTAAATACTCAACTATTTTACCCTTTTTATTTAGTCTGTCTCTTTGTCTATCTTTTATTTCCTTATTTATATATATATATATATATATATATATATATATATATATATATATATTTTAAATAAAAACAGACCACTTTAGGTTTCATGTAATAAATTATTTCACCACAGCCCTTTTAAAAGACTGCGGATCATCAGACTTTACTTCCAAAGGTTGAAACGCAGTCCTTGTGGTGAAATAATTTATTACACGGAACCTTAAAGTGGTCTGTTTTTATTTAAATTATTTGCTCTGGATTTACATTGAGCTCTCTGGATTTTATCCTCCTTGAGTCTACCCATACGGATTACCTAGTTTTTCATAAACTATATATATATCTATATATATCTATACCTATATCTATATATATCTATATCTCTCTCTCTCTCTCTCTCTCTCTCTCTCTCTCTCTATATATATATATATATATATATATATATATATAAAAGTATATTAGCCTTAGAGCGGGTAGAATGGAGATCAACGTGTTTTAGTGAACTCAGCAGTTTTCAATCAGATTGTATGAATCGTCTTCAAGAAGCGAGAGCAAGATCCAAAAGGTCAGCCAATCTCACAGTGATCTCATCCCATAATCCTCACTCTTGCTCCATTTTTTTCCTCCTTTGTAAATCACTAGCGGGTCTTAAGTACCAATTAAGATTATCGCACAAAATTTCATAACTGAATCAGGCTGTTAGATCCTCATACGTCGAAACCAATGTAGAGAGAGGGAGAGGGATAGAGAGGATGAGAGAGGGAGAGGATGCGGTTGATAAACTGTCGTGTGAATTACGCAAAAATGAAAATAACACTGAATCTCATTTTAACAGAAGCTTTTATCAATATTACACAAAAATATCTTGAAATACTAAAGAGTAAATTAATTCATTAAAATCACCCAGGCTTTTTGGAGGATTAGTTATTAAGTATGTTTCACATGTTTCTGACAGTATTAAATGCTATTTTATTTACGCTGGCTTTTTAGTTTTAATTAGTATGGATTCAAGAATTTGCATTTATTTTATCTACTTCTTCCTACCTTTTGTGATGAATACCCAATATAGATCCCTCGAAGGAGGTAACATAATATATATATATATATATATATATATATATATATATATATATATATAAAAAACTGATCCACAAAAAGAGCTCAATGTATTTATTATAACAAGGCATAGAAAAGATACAACAAACTCCCAAACTATCTCGTATATAGGGGTGGGGATATATGTATTTCAGCTGACGCCCATAACCTCGTCCTTCTTATTCAACCCAGTTGTATAAGCTTATACCCGTCAGCTGAAACAAATTTACCCCATATATATATTAGGTAATTTTTATTTTGTTGTGTGATCTGATCTCTCTCTCTCTCTCTCTCTATATATATATATATATATATATATATATATATATATATATATATATAATGTATGTGTGTGTATGTATCTATGTATGTAGAAAATAGGTGTTATGGTTAGGTTGTTGCAGAAGCTTGTGATTCTGACTATCAAAACCAGCAAGAACATCACTTTTAAAAATTGGCGCATCATAATCTTCCTTCTAGAATTAGCAAACTAGGTGAATGAGTAATATGAGTTCTACGGTAGGATCCGTGCCTACGCCTCCTTTGGAGGAGAAATCGTTGTTAGATTCGATGTGCTTTCCCAGAAAGGGCATACTTTTCGTTAATACGTTTTCTCGAATCTTCAGGCCGGTAGGCGAAAATAAATAAATATACAGTTTAATAAATAAACGGAGTGTCTGATCAAATTAGTGTTTCTCGCTAAAAAAAAATCACGTTTAAAGGGATAAAATCTGTTGGATTAATAAATAAAATTTCCGAAGCATATTTTGGCACATTTAGACTTTTCGAAATACATCAAATACTTTGGTTGTTCACCGTAATGACACTGGGCACAATTTTGATATAAAAAATGCTACTCTGATCAAAGGAGAAAAACAATTCTCTTTGACGTAAATGTCTAGAAAGTGCCTTGATCGCAAAGGTCATCTTGAGTAAATTTACGCTTATACCATTTCACCATTCTTGGTAGATATTCTATTATGACAATGTGGGATATCTACTAACAAAAGTGATGAAAACAAAAAGACTCTAACTTAAATCAGATAGATATAATAAAAAGAAAAAAATCACAGCATACCTCGTTTGTGCGCATGTGTAGAAAAATTTAGTTCGATGAAGTCTTGAACTACTAGTAAAGTTTTTCAACTTTGTCATACATTTCCCCAATATTGAATATTGTTCATATATATATATATATATATATATATATATATATATATTATATATATATATGTGTGTGTGTGTGTGTGTGTGTGTGTGTGTGTGTGTGTGTGTGTGTGTGTGTGTGTGTGTGTGAAAGGGCGAAACTGCCAACCAGCCTCGCAACCCAGGATTTGACCACAAGGTCTACTTTTAGGCGCGGCTGTTTTCTGCCTTTCTATTACATTTCTATCCGTATATATATATATAGATGTATACGTGTGTGTGTATCCTGGATATATATATATATATATATATATATATATATATATATATATATATATATATATATATATATATATATATATATATATATATATATATTACTACACACACATGTATGTTCACGTATATAAATTTTCTTACAATACATATCCTCTCCTTTGATAATCTTAGTTAAATACGGTATCTCCATTCGTTGCCATTTGCGCAAAAGCCAGTCAGTTAAGGCGATATTTGACATATATAGTGTTACTGGTAGTGATCTACAGTTTTGCCTTCAGAAATCAAACTGCTCGTATATCTTAAGCATACATACATATAAAACAGTATCGAATTTTGAACATAAAAAGGTCGAATAAAGTCATTTAAGGAAAGGTTTATGGCCCTGGTTCGTGGGGCCTACTTTCGATCATCGTCTATCAAGACAGGGGTGGGGACAACAGGGCGAAGATTAAGGATTTTTGTGTTGAGGAATGAGAATAACTCATCATTGGACATTTCAGTAATTTCTGTTCACGCTTTCAGTCCATGAAGGATTATGAAATCCTTTTAACAAAGTAGGCTTTAAAACATTCATTATCTATCTATCTATCTATCTATCTATCTATCTATCTATCTATCTATCTATCTATTTTAGTCTGTTTCTGTTTGCCAATCTATCTATCTATCTATCTATCTATCTATCTATCTATCTATCTATCTATCTATCTATCTTAATCTGTTCATATTTGTTTGTCTGTCTATATATCTTAGTCTATTCATACATCCATCTTAATCTGTTCATTATCTATCTATCTATGTATTTTAGTCTGTTTCTGTTTGCCAATCTATCTATCTATCTATCTATCTATCTATCTATCTATCTATCTATCTATCTTAATTTGTTCATTATCTATCTATCTATCTTAATCTGTTCATATTTGTCTGTCTATTGTTGTTCATATCTATCTATCTATCCATCTTAATCTGTTCATATCTCTCTATCTCTCTATCTCTCTATCTATCTATCTATCTATCTATCTTAATCTGTTCATATTTGTTTGTCTGTCTATCTATCTTAGTCTATTCCTACATCCATCTTAATCTGTTCATATCTATCTAGCTATCTTTTCATATCTATCTATCTATCTATCTATCTATCTATCTATCTATCTATCTATCTATCTATCTATCTCTGTTCATATCTCTTTACATATGTATCTGTCTGTTCACTTCTATCTATCTATCTATCTATCTATCTATCTATCTATCTATCTATCTATCTATCTATCTATCAGAAAACAGAGAACGCGTATTTGTAAAATCTCCAATACCAAGTCTTATGTGGATATTCTTCAATATGTTCAAGGTGTGCCATGTAATTGAGATCAATTTATAATCTGAAAAAAAGCAAAAACTCAGTATGTTTTATACAACATGGTTTATCCAGTATAATTACCCCCAGGCTTGAGGACAGTCTGTCCCTCTAGGGAGGTCCTGCTTCATGTCAGCCATCACGTCCTTGAGAGTGGTCTTCAACGAACCTATAACATTAATGGAGCAGATTTTTGGTCTCCCTTTCAACTACACTTCAGAATTATTAGTCTTCTTATTCTTTTTATGTATACCGTGTCTTTTTAGGATGTGGATAGTCATAACTCTCCACAACTTAACTAAAGTTTTTATCCCTTAATAATGTCTGACTCCCCCCCTCCGCCCACTCCCTGTTCTGTCATTCATTCAATTAACCTCGTCAGGTGTTCTCCCGCTGTTTCATCTCATCATTTTTTTTTGCTTTAGATATGTCCTATAAGTGTCAAATTTCCGAAGCCTTCCTCCCTCATTAAACACTAACCCTGCCCATGGCAGCGTAAATAGTGGATGGAATGAGAATTTTTCTCCTCTTCTATAGCAAGCAAGGTCGCATATAACAAGAAAAGAATTTTGCAATTCGGTTGGTCTGTTTTATCTAAAACGCCATATTCATCTAAGCTTGCACATCGAATATTACTTTGATATGTCCCGGAAAGGGATATCTTTGTTCGAAGTAGCAAAGTGGTTTTGGACTACTGTAACCGAGTAGGACAATCTAGCAGGTAACTGTAATGGACTGATCCTCGTCGTAGTGGTAGGCAATAGGCATCATCTTGTACCTCCACATCAGTCTGTATTTACGGCTGACACCAACCAATCATAGTACTGTGAGGGGGAACCCAGGTGTATGCATATTCATTACATCCTACCTTTTATTTTGATCGCTTCAAAATGCTTTACTGGGAAGACTCAAAAATTTTCACGTTAGAACCTGCGGAATTTTACTCAAAAGTTAGTGCAAAGCTGCCTGATCAGTGGTAACAAATCATTGCAAATAATGGTGACTACGTAATTGAATAGTATGTAATTGTATTTTATTTTTTGAAGAATTAATTTGTGTAAAAAAAATATTATTTAAGAATTAACCATATACGTAATCATCCATATTTATAGAGCATTTATTTGTGATATCATGTTTTTTTTCTTTAATGATTTTATAAATGGCTATGAACTTAGAAATGAAGGTCTATTTTACATTTATTTGATAAAGTTATATTACTCTGGGACTACAATGGGTCATCCACTGAAAATCCAACATGCTTTAATAGCACTGAACATGCAAATATAGCTTTATAACAAACACCATATATTTATTTGGCTTAGTCTCGTATATAATGGCTTGTCTCGGGCACCTCGGGGTGGTGTAATGGTTAGCAAGCTTGTCTCGCTAGAATAATTACGACTGAGTAGTGAGTTCGATCCTCACTGGGTTCCTCCAACTTTCGGCCTTGTGCCACATCTAAGCTACGCTTGGAAAATCACTATAATGGCTTGTCTGAAACAAAAGTTACATATATATCGCCGCAAAGACCCGCGCACATATAAATATGAAAGTGGGCATTGAAGTCAAAAGTAAGAGGCCTCTCTGACTTCAATGTCAACTTTTACATACACTCTATGATACTGAGCTCTTAATCCCATAAATATAGATACCTGAAAAGTATATTTCTTTTTGTATGTGTGTGTGTGTGTGTGTGTGTGTGTGTGTGTGTGTATATATATATATATATATATATATATATATATATATATATATATATATATATATATATATATATATATATATATATATATATATATATACAAAACAACCTTATTAAAATTTAAAAATGAAAAGATTAATGGTATGGAGGGGAAAAAAAAAAAAAAAAATTTTCTTTTCTTCCTCTTTCTTTAACTTATACACATATATATATATTCCTTCCTGTTTTTTTTTTTAAGCTGTGCAAATATACACAATAAACGAGAGAAGGAAAAAAAAAAAAAAAAAAACATATATATGTATATATAACGGAGTGTGAAGGAAAATTTGAAATTTTTTTTTTTTTTTTTTTTTTTATCCCTTCTCTCGTTTATTGTGTATATTTGCACAGCTTAAAAGAAAACAGGAAGGAATATATATATATATGTGTATAAGTTAAAGAAAGAGGAAGAAAAGAAAATTTTTTTTTTTTCCCCCCTCCATACCATTAATCTTTCATTTTTAAATTTTAATATATATATATATATATATATGTCATATATTAAGCTTAGTCATCGTCTTCTTTTTTTTGAATTTGTAGGTCTGCTGAATTGGATCATGATTACAATTCCAATGTAATAATTTATACCATGGAATATTAGTGTTTGAGCCTTATATATATATATATATATATATATATATATATATATATATATAGAGAGAGAGAGAGAGAGAGAGAGAGAGAGAGAGGGTGTCATGGATAAATTGTTGTCTAAATTAAGAAAAATGAAAATAACCCTGTCATCTCATTTTAATCTATATTTTTACCAAAATCACACAAAAATATCTTGAAATACTCAAGTGTAAATTTATGTAATAAAGCCGGCATTGGCTTCAATCACGGCCTCCAGATACATTTGGAATCTTCTGTAACTGGACTGTCTCTTTGTTTAAGTTGTTGAATGCTGCCTTCAGTTTGTCGTTGATGTTACAAGGAGTTTTGTTTTTCTCTCGCTCATAACAAGGCGGTTGCATTCTGGGGAGTTAGGTGGCCAGATGTAAGGGATGATGTGGTTATAGAAATTGTCTGATATCTATAACATGGTTCTCTTTCTTGTGGGACATGGTGCAGTGTCCATTTGCTAGACATAGTGTCTTCCATCAGCCATCCTCTTAACACAAGGCAGTACTATCTCTTCAAAGAACCTAATGTAGGCCTCCATATTGAGTCTGAGTCCCTCGCCAACAAATTCGGGAGTTCTTTTCTTATCCGAGCTGTCGTACTTTCGTAATGAATAATCAGAAATCCAACTCTTTCCAAATCCTCATATCGTCACCTAAACACTGCAATCTTTGTACTAGAGCTTCCGGTGCGAATGTCAAGCAGTACAGCGTACCGTTCCCAAATTTCTGGCGGAGTAAATTGCATCATAGTGTTTATTTTTCTTTTTTTCACAGACGGTGCCCAACTGACCCTACTATACTGTGCAGTCAACAAAAAAAAAAACCCCAAAAAACAAAAAAAAAAAAACAAAACAAACAACGGGCACGCGCGAAATTAAAAATATAAAATGGCAACAATTTACCTATCGTACCCTGTATATGTATGCATTTATATATATAGAATAAATCCTTACAAGCCAAGCAAACCTATCTAAGTTTCACCTAAACGGATTTTCAGGGTAGCCAGTCTACCCTGAAGATCCGTTTAGGTGAAACCTAGGTAGCTTTGCCTGGCTCGTTAGGATTTATTCTAATTTACCGCTCTACTTAGCGTATTGAACCCTCTACGTTTTCGTTGTCTTTATACTCGCTTTTTCTTTCGACTAACGACTTAAGACACTTGACGATTTTTTTCGCCTTGTTTTAATGTTTTTAGTTCTTTCTTTTTTTACTTCCGATTTCTTCCTCGGGTACCAATTTGCCCTCAGGTGTCTACAAGTTGAGTCATCCGAGATTTTTTCAAGCTAGTAATATTGCTAATATATATATATATATATATATATATATATATATATATGTTGCAGGGCCAATAAGGATGTTGCCCCCGCAAGCTTTATGAGGAAAAGTGTGAACAGCCAAGACAATGAGGGGACAAAGGCAAAGGTTTTTGGAACAATAACGTCGAATTAATGTTTGAAAGGGCGCTGCATAGTCAGATGCTCACGAGGTATGGTTTGGCATCAACGATGTTGACCCTAAATCTGCGAGATCAGGGGTTGTGAAGGTCAAGGTCGGCTTTCTAAGGAGCGGCTAATCGGCGACCGCAACAATATATATATATATGAGTGAACATTGAAGTTAACACTCTGGGGCAACAGAAGGCGACCCTGATGTCCTGAGGATTGCTTCTTGCATGAAAGAGTCTAGTAAAAACTAAAACTATATTTATTCTTATATATATATATATATATATATATATATATATATATATATATATATATATATATCATCGAAAACAACTATAATTTATTTCAGTAAGTAAATTTTTAATACTTAACCAGACCGAAATTACAAAATGATATAATGTTACGAAATGGTTTAAATTTATCCAGACAATATTTTTAAAAAACATACAATCGTAATAGAAGGTTTAGACGCTTGACCTTGAAAATCTATAAAATTTTATATTCTTGAAGATGTGGGTGCGTGGAGGAGAGGTACTTCAAATGTGGTGTTTGGGAGAATACGACTAACAGCTAGAGAAATACATTAGAATAAAGATTATACGCATACACACAAATACATACATACACATACATGTATACATATATATATATATATATATATATATATATATATATATATATGAGAATAGAAAATAATGAATATAAAATAACTCATTGAAAATAATGAAATAAAATAATTGAATATATAATACCATATACATTCGCACATATAGGCACATATATACAAACACATATAAGATGGGAAGTGAAAATATATGATATAAAAAACAAAATCTTAAATTCAATATCTAATTCATCACAATAATTATAGAAGCCAACACATACACACATATATTTACATACACAAATATACACACAAATCCACACATTCATACAAACGCATAAGTAAATACATATATGCAAGTCACATGCATAGACATACATAAACATACATACACCCCACATACACATACAAACACACACACACATATATATATACACATATACACACATGTGCATATATATATATATATATATATATATATATATATATATATATATATATATATATATATAAACTCATAAATATATAAAAAAAAATACATAAAAACACCCATGCATATAAAAATAAAATAAATATAAAATAAATAAAAATGTCCGCA